TCACATTCCTGCTTCCAAATTGTGCCTTTGTTTGTGTTGAAATCTGGTAAGCCAGTTACCAACTATAAGTTTCTTTTTTAAACTGCGCTCAGTTATTGATCGCATTGGTTTAGATTCGAAACTATACTCCACTCACTCCTTTAGAAGAGGTTTTGCAACTCTAGCTTTTAGACTAGAAATTCCATCAGCTTTAATCCAATTCATGGGTGATTGGTGTTCTGATTCTTACAAAAGATATATTCAGTGTCATTAAAGATAAAAATTAAAGTTTCTCGTTTTGTTAGAAAAAGTCTGTTATAGTTTAAAGGAAAGGTTGAATTATTGTCTCGAATTGAAGTATCATTTATTATTAGGTTCCTTTAACAGACTTATGCAGTATTGTGTGAAAAGTTGAAAAGTATAATGATTATGCGTTTCGTCCTTGCGGAGAAACTTGTCTATTGTCGGAAGGATGCATTAACCTTCCTTATAGATTTGATATTCAAATATCAGCATATCATATTTTGGGGTTTTTGTCTACACTTTGTGTATGTTTTCTTTTGTTTACATCACATATTCTTTGTTAGTCTTTGTTTTTCTTTGCCAATCTTATTTATTTATTTATTTTTGGCAGAAATTCGTCCTGTTGATATAATAAGATATTCTGTTATATATAATATATCAAGTCTTCCACTTAATATATGAAACTAAAGTGTTTGAACAATTATCACCGTTAAATTATCAAATATGAATAAGATTGTACTATAAAATAAAAAAAAATCTTTAACAATTATGTCGTAGTAAAACTATTGACTCCCGGAAACTAGTGACAATAATAGCTGTGGCAGCAATATCTGAATCCAGCTAGAAGTTCGAGTTGGTTTAACTCATTCAAATTATACTGTCGAAGAAGTTATACGTTATTTATGACCTCTTAACAACAGTTTCTCACACATAATTGGAATTCCTTGACGAAACATGTTTTGTTTACTTTTATGAAGAATTATCCAGCGGAATTGAGTTCCTTTCAAAAACAAACCATGAATTATAAACGGAAACTTTTTTTAACTACAAAAAGTACAAATAAACAACATTTATCTGCTGTATGTATACCAATGTCTCTCATATTTTTATTCATCGTGAAATTATTGTAAACGCTAAACAACGGATTACAGCGGAGCTATTTTATTTAAGTAGCGTATACAGACAGTGACTTATTTGGAGACTGAATACTTGTGATTGGCTAGCGGGTTCCGCTCTGCGTTTTCGTTGGTCGATGCCTTATTCAAATGCTTTGGACTGCTACTTTTTACCCGCTGTTATCAAGGCGCCAAAGTATATAACTACAGGCGCGAACAATCAATGTCAGCTTCCCAACCGCTGAGCGGAGTACCTTTCATTATGTTTTAAACATGTACAATCCGCTGAAATAATTATATGCTTTGGTAAAACATTATATTGAGTAAAATTCCGCTGATGAAATGAATTTTAGATTGTTACAAATATAAATCCACTGAGACTTTGTAAATCGGCTGGAGCGAATTCCGTTGAACTGAAATCCACTGAACTGATATGAACTAAGATGTACCGCTGAACTGAAATGAACCGACTTTTACAGATTCTTGGACACACAAAACCAACCTTGTATCATATACAGATAAAGTCTTACAAACATACTTTAACAGTTAATTGAAGCATACGAGTATACATACAGTTCGTTCCATTACATTTATTTATATTTGTCAATCAAATATTAACATCAGTTTCAGTTAAAAACCGTGTTCTTCCGTAAATATCAAATTCCGTCTTTATATCGTATACTAAACTTTATGGTTTCCTGCTTCTTGACCCAGCCCCTTCCTGACAATTCCATTATTAAACAAGGGTGCCATAGTCACAAAATACGCCCGTTTACGAAAGCTTTAGATGGAGATGGGGGCATTATGGATAAGTGTTATCTTGCAAGCAAGTTTTTATTCTTGGCACTGTGTTGTTAAATGAACCTTAAAATAAATCAGTAGGGAAGATATGCACAGGATGTGTGACCTTGACCTTGCTCGCAAGGAACTGAATTTTATGCACGGCACTCAGCCTCACAATGATGAACATTTGTGCCAAATTATATTGAAATCCTTCTATGCATGTAGAAGATTTGCTCCTGACAAGCGTTTTTCTATGAGCTCTAACTGTGACCTTCATCTTTGACCTAGAGACTTGGTTCATGTGCAAGGCACTATGTCTCATGGTGGTGAACAATTCTATAAAGTAACATTAAAATTCCTCCATGCATGTAGAAAATATGCTCTGGATATTTAATCATCTCCAGTGACCTTGACCTTGCAAATATTAACCTTAATTAAATGTGTCACACCTGTAGTCATAATAGTTACCATTTGTGCTACAATTCATCAATAAATGATGACTAAATGGTCCCTATACACATCTTCAAATTTTTATCTGAACTTTGACCTCTATGTGTAACCTTGACTTTGGTCGGAGGGATCTGAATTTTACGTGCGACACTTGGCCTCACAACGGTGAACATTTGTGCCAAGTTATATTGAAATCCCCATATGAATGTAGAAGTTTTCTTCCGGACAAGCGTTTTTCAATAAGCTCCAAGTGTGACCTTGACCTTTGACCTGGAGACCTGAATCATGCATGGAGCAATACATATCATAGTGGTGAACATTTCTATAAAGTATTATAAAAATTCTTCCATACATGTAGGAGATATGCTCCAGACACAATCTGGATATTTCACCATCTTTAGTGACCTTGATCTTGCATATATTGACCAAAAGTACATGTGTCACAGCCGTAGTCATGATAATGACCATTTGTGTTACAATCCCTCAATAAATGATGATTAAATCGTCCCTATACACATCTTCATATTTTTATCTAAATTTTGACTTCTATGTGTGACCTTGACCTTGGCTGCAGGGACCTGAATTTTGTGCACGACACTCCACCTCACAATGGTGAACATTTGTGCCAAGTTATATATAAATCCCTCTATGCATGTGGAAGTTTTGCTCCGGACAAGCGTTTTTCAATGAGCTCTAAGTGTGACCTTAACCTTTGACCTAGAGACCTAGTTCATGTGCGAGACATGGCTACTCATAATGATGAACATTTCTATGAAATTTCCTTAAAATCCCTCCATGCGTGTAGGAGATATGCTCCGGACAAAATCTTGATATTTCATCATCTTTAGTGACCTTGACCTTGTATATATTGACCTAAATTATATGTATCACAGCCATAGTCTTGATAATGACCATTTGTGTTACAATCCCTCAATAAATGATGGCTAAATGGTCCCTATACACATCTTCATATTTTTATCTGAACTTTGACCTCTATGTGTGACCTTGACCTTGGACGCAAGGACCTTAATCTTGCGCGCGACACTCCGCCTCACAATGGTAAACATTTGTGCCAAGTAATATTGAAATCCCTCTATACATGTGGAAGTTTTGCTCCGGACAAGCATTTTTCAATGAGCTCTAAGTGTGACCTTGACCTTTGACCTAGAGACCTGGTTCATGTGCGCGACACTGCTCCTCATTTCTATGAAGTTTCATTAAAATCCCTCCATACATGTAGAAGATATGCTCCGGACAAAATTGGACGCCGCCCGCCCGACCGCCAGGGGCGTTCCAATAATACGTCCCGTTTTTCAAACGGGCGTACAAAAATATGTCTACGATCGAGGGAGTCAAGATCCAGTCCTTTCCTGGGCCAATTTGATTGCGAACATTAGACATGAAAATCAATCAATTAAGATTTTAATTTCTTCTGTTCTCCCTCGACCGGTGGATCATTCTGATACGGACATTTAAATCAAAGAATTGAATCACTTTCTGGAAAATGTTTTGGCTTCAGATGTATAAGATCTCACCGTCCATTTTGTTTCAAATGTCAAGTAAGAAGATTTTGTTTGGTAAATTAGATGGTTGCTTTCAATTAAACACAAAAGGCCTAAATCGTCCTGGCTTTTTTCTTATATGTGTGATTTCCACTTTTCCACTATAGTTAGTTCTTCAGTTATATTTTTTAGGATTCCATGATACCTTGTATTTTAGTATCACATTTTAATTTGTCAATTTTATGGGTTTTTTGTTGTTGTAAAATTCAGATCCTATAGGCAATATAATAGTACAAGTTAGGAGGCTAGTTCTGTTTAACTTCTTTGCATTTTAGTTTGTGCATTTGTTTATGTTTGCTTTGCCTTTGTTTATTTTGGATGTTATTTGGCGGGTATTTATACTTGTTGCATTTATGTTCTATATTATCTGTAGTGCATGTTTGTTTAATTATCTGACAATTGAATAGTCTTTCATGTATTGCTTGTTTGCTTATTTATCTGATAATTGAAGAGTTTTACATGTATTGCTTGTATATAAATTTGATAATAGAATAATATTTCAGTGACGCACATTCATTTATCAAAATCTAATTATTACTTCTGGACTGAGATTTATTTATCAAGGATAAGTATTACATAAAATTTCGACACATTCTTGAACTATCTCCTCAAAATACCGTTTTAATTTACCTGTAAACACGGATTTATATATAAATCCGTGCTGTAAAGTACATGCTATAATGTGCTACAGTAAGTTCAGTGCTTTCAACTCCAAGCTAAAACTCGTACAAAAACATTGATGAAAATGAATTAACACTGACATTATATCCGGTTAAGAACTGAACAGAAAAGCGCCGGCTTTATTTTTATATTGTCACATCTTTTTCAAATGTTATGCAACACTTATATGAAATGTCGCATCAACATTTGAATGATTTTATTCTGCCTAATTTAACACAAGAATGAAGAACGATTATGAGTCAGTATTAATAAAAGAGTATGACTGTACGTGTATATGTCCTCGAAGAAGAAACCAAAATTAAAATTATCCTCAACATAAAAAAGTATGTTTTTTCTTTCATTTCTGATTCATTTTAATCAATGTTGACATATTGACATTTTAAATATGAATAAATATAAAACTTACGTTTCTTCGTTTTGGTACATGCTGAAATAAAAAAAAATGGACCTATATAGTATCAACAAAAGAACGAAAATTTAGAATACTCTCAAATTGTCTTCAGTTAACTTTTTAAGTTTACTTCATAATTTCCTTCCTAAACAACTAGAACAAGAAGTGCTTCAATTTCTAACAACCAAGTTTTGATGTCAAAGGAATTAGGAATGAAATATGGAAGTTAAGAAAAAAAAACGATGTTGTTATTTGTACAAACATATTGTACAGAAGTTATTGAGTAAAAGTTAAAAAAAATTGTCAGCATGTGTCCTTGACCTTTCTTCCAAATATCAATGTAGCAATTCCAAGCTGCATCATAAAAGAAGCTACTTACACAGCAAGTTTCGGGTCAATAGGTTTCAGTAAACTCAAGTTATATAGCGGAAACAGAATTTCTATTTTAGCAACAGTGTCAAAAGGTATCAGAAAACTGAAACTGAATTTCTATTTGAAGCAACAGTGACCTTGAACTTGATCACAGACATCTGGTAACAATCCCAAGCTCCTGCCACTTGATTTAAGATACCAAGATATAAAGTTCATGCCCACATCTTGAAAAAAGAATCTGACAAGAGTTGACTATTGATATAATACATGTAAGATATTTTTTCGAAAACCTTTATGCGAACTTTTGTAAATCATAACGTTTTGCGATTATTTGTTACAGGCAATACCGGTGGTGAAGTACAGCTCCGATTACTATTGGCATTGTAAATGTTTGCAACATATATGTATGAAACATCTGAGTAATAATTTCAAAATGCGTTTTTTTTCTATTTCAAACAGTCTACAACAAAAGTGATAAAACTAATTTCAAATAAATAAAATTATTAGGCAGCATACAAAAAGAGTCATAAATGTCCAAAGTCATGTTAAGCAAAATCACAGTTTACAAGTTCTTGTAAATATGTCATGTATCTTTAATTTCTTTATTTTTTTGCAACCAGCGATATCCTGTTAAGATTTTAGATTTTAAATAAAACTCTAACTTACCACTTTTGACCGATTAGAATACTGAAATAAATGAAAACATATTAAAATCATATACTATTACTTAACAAACCCAGATTTGAATTACTTTAAAATGGCTGTCATTTTACGTTTAAGTTTGAATAATTATATATCATGTGAAATGTTTTATTTATCATAAATAGCAGCCAAATATTACCATCCTTTTTCAAACGCATAAAGATGATTTTGTTTGATATTCTATTCTAATACAATGTTATATGCAACAAATATAACATTTGAAACAAATTGAATGCATCCCTATTTTGTTTGTTTTGAGTTTTACGTCACATCGACACAGTATAGGTCATAACGCGACGTTCCAGCTTTACTGGTGGAGGAAGACCTCAGGTTTCCTTCAGTGCAATATATCAGGCACGAACGGGCACCTGAGTAGAACCACCGATGTTCCGTAAGCTATCCGGATAGCTTCCTCACATAAAAGAATCCAAAGTCCCTGTCGGGATTCGAACCCACAGCGGTGAGGGGCAAGTGGTTTGAAGTCAACGACCTTAACCACTCGGTCACGGACGCCCCTCAAATGAGTGCTCATAATTGCCTTCCAATTAATAGTGTATTCCCGTCCTCTTTCAAATATAATTTGCATTATTCCCAACATTATATCAATATAATTGAATAATGTAAACTATAATATAAATCATTACTAGAATTATTGTAACATGTGTTCAATTAATGTAAAGCAAAATATCTTTAACTAAGTTGTGATAGGTAATGATAGTGTATCTTATGTTTCCTGATTATATGAATTTTTCTTCAGATATCATTGTAAATTAACAATACTTGATTAATCATATTATTGTCGTTGTATGCATGATAAAGGCAAGCCGTTGTTTCATTTAGATTCATTGCTTAGTACTGGTTGATTCTGATTCTAGGAACGGATGTGAGGGTGTTTCAGTAACCTAAGAGCTTCCAACACAATCGAACTAAAACAAATGTGTATAAAGTTATCATAATAACTTCTTTGAATTGCCTTATAACATTAATTTAAAATAGAGTAATGCAAAGTTTAAAAAATCACTTTTGTAAATGGTATGGAAACAGGCATGAAGCTGAAGTATTTATAAAAATTAGCCTGGGGGAGTTGTTCCTTCTTTTTTTCATAGATCGGTGTATATCCACATCTATGTTATTTACTCAAAAAACGAAATAGGTGTCTGTGCTACAAGGTATTAATTTAATAAAAAAGCTTCTGTAATTGTAATTATTTTTCAAAGAGAACAAAGCGGTCATATAAATCGAGTTGACATGTTTTATTTTTTTAATCGATAAAAGTACTTGTATATCATGTGTCTATCGTTATATTTGTATACTTAGGTCAATATAAATCTGCTTAATAATAGTTTGTGTCACAAAATACTTGATGTTCTTTCCATCGATAAATTACGGGAATTATTACTATGTTCTATAATACATGACAGCCTATTAAATAATTGTTATTATTTTCATGTATAGTATAGAGACTTTCTTGTGTGAATGGCTTTATCGTTCGAATTTCTTAAATCATAACGTGAGGTTTCATCCATCTACTGGTTGATAATGCTTAGATTAAGCATATGAATAAAGGTAAGACTGTTCTTATTTTATGTGCTCATGTCATACTCAGTCATTATAGTTTGATAGAAAATGGAAGAAATATTACAAAACAAACTTATAATTAATTGTACAAATACAAAAATTAATATTATGCAATATATAGGATGGAGATCATGATAATATTGAATTAAATTATTATTTATCTAATGTAAAGTATTGAAGTAAGAAAGGATTTACTTATTTATAGTTAGGGGATGTATAATCTTTCTTCTTTTCTGAAATCAAATTTGCATATATATAAGCGCCGACTATATTTGATATTGCCGTTGTTCGCCAAACCGTGTATGAGTAATCTGAGTTGTCACGTTATATTTTGAAATCTTTTGGTGTCTGATCCTACAGAAGACTGATACAAATTATATTTATAGAATGAGCAGTTGCTTTTTCAAAATGTCATGATTATACATATTTCCCTGCAAGTAAACTCAAAGTTTTCAAACACATTGACAATATATCTTTCGTTATCATTATTCCATTTTAATAGATAAATACAAGCATGAATTGTTTTCTATTCCTTCTATGTTAACGGAAATAGGACAAAATATAAAATACTATTACACAAATAAGATAAAGAATACTCTTATACGGTCAAATATCCAAAAATACAATCATGTTGTTGAGATGCTTACATTATATTCAAACTTAAATATTTATATTAATATGAAGAAGATGGTTTTCGGTTTCAATTTTTGTTCACGCTACAAAGTTAAAAAAGGTTGTAGATCTATTTATCAAGCACTGCAAAATACAAACCAGTATCCAAACTCTTTACAAAACTGGAAAGATAATTTGACGGCTTTTTCGGACCTTTCTTTATTTTTCAAAATAATTCGATATGCTTCATAGATATACGAAAGATCAACAGATCATATGGTTACAATTAAGAATCAACCATCGAATCCTTGCAACAAACTATTTGCTTAAAAAAAGAATATTATCGATGATGATACCTGTACATTTTGTAAATAAAAGAATCAGAAACTTTGTTCCGCCTGTTTTGTGATTGCCCAATAATAAAACAATTCTGGTTACAAGTTCAAAAATATGTTAAAGAGAAATGTAATGTTTTTTTGATTTCCATAATTGGCTGGCAACATATATTTTATTTGGCTGTACAAAAGTAGATATTGTTTTAACAAAATAATTTTGATTGCAGAAAGTCATATATATATTACAGTAGGATTAAGAAAACAAGGCCTAATCTCGAAAATTTTAAGAATCAATTCGAAGTCAACTTTAAGATTGAAAACAATATGCAAAACAAACTTCAAAGTATGAGTTTTTTTTTTAAAAGACACGGGAGAAGTATGATAATTCAGTCTTTCAATATAATTCAGAATATTAATTTTTTTGAACCTCATTTATGTATATAGAAGTCCAATACATAGAGCCTTCAATAAACTCAAAACACATTTTTAAATTAAAGATATGTATTTTAACAGCAGAGACGAAAGCCAAGTAGTTTACACCAATAACTTTTTATTTGATATTTTCCCTATTTTACACCTCCTTCCTCCCCCTCTCAATTCCCCGTCCCCGACATTGATCCTTCCTCCTTTCTGGTAGTATATCATAGTTTAAAGCAAATTGTTGACTCTGTTTTGTTTATTATGTTTAAGAAACAGTAATGATTAGTTAAAATGACCTCTTTACAATTAAATGTCTAAGTTGTCTTGAGTAGATTTCACTCTTGTAAGTTAAAGGGACATTCAAATTAAAAGTGATTGTCATGATTTTACAAAAACACACTGACTAATTGTTGCTCATCGTAGAAAAAAAACTGTTAACGTTATAGCTAAGTGCATAGATTTTTGTGACAGTTCTCTTTTCTTAATGCAAAATGGTTGCGAAATAGTTGCAAAATGGTTAAGTCCATTTGACCAAGTCAGTATCTTTTAAATTTTCAGATAAGTATTGCATGATAGTTTTAACACTTACATGAAGAAAGTAAGCCAAGGTATTATTTTGGAAAAGTGTTTTTTAAAGTGCCATAATTATGTGTTCACCATTTTGAAATACACACTATCCCCGCCGTCTTAATAGTAAAATCATTTTTATTCGTGGGGCACAAATTTTCGTGGTTTTCGTGGGTAGGTCAATCCACGAATTTAAGATCCGACGAAATTTTATCCCAGCAAATACTTCTAACCCTGTCTCTGTTCTATATATTACAACCATGCGTCGGCTCTTTGCTGGCCGATTAACGCGAAATGGACATGTATAAATACAGATAATCAGGTTAGTGACAGATTAAATCCGTTTGCAATATTTAAGAAACTTGAAAGAAACCTCAATTATATGTACTCAATTTACTGTCAGAAATGTCGGTCGCACATACACACTTAATCAGTGTAGTCTACTTCATTGTGTTAACAAGAATACTTGACATAATCGAGTAAATATGAGAACCCATGCAATACAATAATTAGCGCTTACAATATTGTAAGTTTGCTCTTATTGATTTAAAAAAGTCTTTGATATTAATATTAATTTAATGTCGTAAGTACACAACACTATAAAAATACGATCGCTTGTTCATTCTTTTGTCGTTTTTAAATGATCCTGTTTAAATGAATTTTAAATTGTATTTGTGCGAATGCTATTCCATAGCCATCATAGACGCCACCGACTTTTAATAGATCCACACATACTCGTGTTATTAACTCGGATTAATTTATATGCATGTAAATTTACACAGTCGCTGTGACGTTGCGTGTAATTACTGTCAAATATGGTAAGACCAATTCAGGGTGTAAACCTTTTTAGCTGGCTGGTTAAAACGTGTCAGGTGTCGTATAAATTATGCGATGTTTATATCGGCGAATTACAGGGGCAGTGTGGGAAATGGAGGGGCATATCATGTCATGGAGGGGCATATCATGTCACATAAATGTGTTAATTGCAATCAATTATCGGCAGTAACTGTGCTATATAAGAGTTATGCCCAGAGGCAAGGATTAATTTTATTGACCAGCACTGTGTGATACGTAAAGATATGTACATGCTGTAAGTAAAAATGTTCGGCGATTAAGTTTAAGATTACTTTGCATTAGGTTACAGAATTTTTTTGATTTTTTTACATAAAAATGAAAATCCACGAACTTAAGAACCAACGAAAATGCCCGTTTTGATAAAACCACGAAATTTCATGCCCACGAATATAAGTGAACTCGCAGTAGTTACGTCCCTTGGTATATCATGAGGTACATTTTTGGTAGTGATTAATTTCTTAGTTATTAGTAAAATGGGGATAGATATCAGCACTTTGAGGTTACGTATAGGTGTGTTTTTACAAAAGTTAAAGGTTGGATGTAAATTTCAAGGATTTAAAACCTCTATTGGACGGTTTAGATTAACTTTTCGTTTGTGCACGTGTTTGCTCGTACTTTTGGTCGTTTGTGGTGACGTAGAGGAGAATCCCGGCCCTTAAAAAACCAAGCAAAATGAGAGTCGGCGACAGTCTCATGTGCAATCAGCGGCTAAATCTATCACAGTCGGCCCCACTAGGGTCGTCGTCGGCATCAGCAGTGACAAGACACGCGGAACCGCCAACCGGTAGAAATACGGAGGGTGTTACCACACGGCAGCGGAAAATCTCCTCATATGCTAACGTTGTTAGTAGCCCATCATCAAGCAATAACGAAAGCGGCTACAGGTCAGTAAATGATGATATTTATGATGTTTTAATGACTATGAAATCAGATATGAATAAAAACAATAACAGAATTATAACAGATTTGAAACAAGTGCATTCGAAAATTGACACTATCTCAGTCACAGTGCGTGAATTAAGGGCTGATATTGAATCCCTTAGAAGAGAAAACTCACAATTGAAAATGCAAATATCAGACCTTCAACTTATGTTGATCGCCAAGAAGGCATCATGAAACGGAAAAATTAAGGATTCAAGGTATCTCAGGTCAAATGCGCGAACCACGTTCTGTTACAGAGCAAAAAGCCAGGGAATTCTTGCAAAATAACCTTAAATGTGAGACTACCAGTACTGTTCAGATTGATGATATACGGAGAGTGAAATCGTCAAATTCGTCTACACCAACAATATTGCTGACTTTTTGTAATTTTGTGGATTGCACTACTATTATGCAATTGGCCAGAAGTAATTTGCAGCGTGATAGTAATGATACATTCAGTATGACTACACGGATCGCGTACGCAGATACCGAAAAATTCTCGGG